TTCGAGAGGATGTTGACCAGTTATTTGAGATGCTGGAGAGACTTATCGCTGCCCAGCAGACCCAGGAGGAAATGGGGGAGCTACCTGACCCTCCTCCACCGCCACAGATTGAGTCACCCCTGTAGCGAGAGGATCCCGAGCCATCCCGGTATGACCCTGCTCCTCCACAATATCACCCGGTACCACCACAATATGATCCGGTGTCCCAGCCATAGTACCATCTGGCACCATTACAATATGGCCCGGTGCCCCAACTGTATCACCCGGCACCACCACAGTACAATTCGATGCCTCCATGTTATCATTCAGTACCAACATAGGGTCATCTAGTCTATCTTTAGCATAGTTCAGTCCATCTTCCACGGATCTAGTTCCTCCTATGATGGATCCATACTACATTGAGAGATATAAAAGACTAAATTTATATACTTTTGTAGGAGGATCCTCCTTTAAAGAGGTCGAGTACTGGTTAGCTGAGACAAAGAAGGCCTTCACGACTCTTGGGGTGATTCCCGGATAAAGGGTCATCCTTACTACCTACATACTGGTGGGAGAAGCAGGCCGCTGGTGGCAATTCAAGCAGGCCACCCTGCTCGTTCCAGTCACTTGAGAATAATTCTTGACGACCTTTCATACAGAGTACCTTTCAGAGCATCTCTAATATCTGAAGAAAATAGAGTTTGCACACCTGATCCAGGGGGACATGATTGTATCAAAATATGCTCGAAAGTTCCTAGAGTTGGGCCAGTATTCCCCTGAGAACATGATGAATGAAGGCTGGAAGGTAAAAAAATTTGAGTGGGGTCTCCGTCTTGAGATCAGACAACCATTGTATGTGTTCGAGCGCAACACTTACTCAGCTGTTCTAGCCAAGGCACAGTTAGTGTAGAGGAACTTTCATATTTTTCCTCTAGTAGTGGGGAATCTTAGGCCCTCGGCTCCACACCGCAGACTAGCACCTATTGCACATGCTCAACAAAACAAGAGACGAAGACTAATGACTCAAGCTCTCCCTCAGATTCCAACAACAGGACGCAGTAGGACCTATCAGCACTGTGGCAAGGATCATAGGGACTGACCTTGCTATCGCCTCAACAACACCTACCGCATATGTGGTAGTGTCCAGCATTATGCAAGAGAGTGCCCGATGAGCCAGAACCAGGCCAGACCTCCTATCTAGGGCAGGACTTACAACCTCACTTAGTAAGATGCAGAAGCCAACCCAAACGTGGTACAGGGTACGCACACTATCTATAATCATCTTGCACATGTTTTGATTGATACTGGTACCTCACATTCATTTGTTTCACATGTTTTTGCATCAAAATTAAATGTATTACATGAAACACTTGATTATGTATTATTTGTGTCTACTCCTAGAAATAGGACACTACTGGGGGAGGTTATATATAAAGCCTGTGTCATATATATAGTAGATAAGAAATTGAGTGTGGACCTAATAGAAATTGACTTAGGGTACTTTGATGTAATTTTATGAATGAACTGACTAGCAGCGTATTACACCACTGTAGATTATTTTTATAAGAAGGTTGTATTCAAGTCTCTTAATGAGGAGTTATTTACAAATTAATAAAAAATTTAACATTTGTTCCCTCATGGCAAATTTTTCTATTATCAAATGCTTTAACCTGACTGTTTCTTTAATTAGGCAAACCCAAGAAAAAAATTTATATTCAAGAGATTTTGGTAGTCCGAAAATTTCTGGATATATTTCCGGATGAACTACCAGCACTGCCAGTGGACAGAGAAGTCAAATTCACTATAGACCTTCAGTCAGACACCCAGCTTATTTCGGTTCCTCCTTACCGCATGACTCGTATTGAGATGAAGGAGTTAAGAAAACAGATCAATGAATTACAGGACAGTGAATTTATTCGACATAGTGTATCCCCTTGGGGTACTGGAGTCACATTTGCAAGAAAGGAAGATAGGACGTTGAAGTTATATAATGATTTTAGAGGTCTGAACAGGGTCATAATCAAGAACAAGTACTCCTTCCCCAGGATCGATGACCTTTTTAATCAGTTATAGGGTGCCCAAGTCTTTTTCAAGATATATCTGCATTCAGATTACCATTAGATAACTATCAGGGCAGAAGACATTCTCAAAATAATCTTTCAAACTAGGTACAGACACTATGAGTTCTTAGTTATATCATTTGGACTAACCAACGTACCAGCCATCTTCATAGATTTGATGAACAAAATTTTCAGATAATTCCTAGATCAGTTCATCATTGTATTCATCAATGATATCTTAGCTTATTCAAAAAGTAGGGAGGAACACGTTCACTATCTGACTCAGGTTTGCAGGTTCTTAGAGAGAATAAGTTGTATGCAAAGTTGAGTAAGTGTGGGTTCTATCTTAAGCAGACTACCTTCATATGGCACATCATATCAAAGGATGGAGTGTCATTGAACCTTGAAAAAGTTGAAGCAGTGTTCGATTGAGAAAAGTTGACATTGGTGAAAAAAATTCGTAGCTTTCTAGGGATGACAGG